CCCAACTCTGCTCCCCTACAGTCTCCGTGCAGCCCCTCCAACCCCGCCCCCTAAGACCCAGTGCTGCCCAACCCCGCCTCCTCGGGTCTCCCCACCCCGGCCTGGCCGCCCTGGACCCGCCGCCCCGCAGGCTCCCGGCGGCCCCAGCCGGTCCCAGCATTCTCGAAAACCCGCGCGCTTTTCTTTGAGCCGCAGCGCTCTCATCATGCCGGAATCTGCAAGCCCAGGGATGCAGGCCGGCGATGCAGTTTCGCCTTTGGGGCCGGTGTCCGGCTGGACCAGGCCCATGTGTTCAGGAGGGTGGATCTGGGCGAGTGAAGACCGGTCGCGAGCCAGTTGGGAGTAACTGAAGGGGACGCAGAGGAGTGGCTGGATTGCCTTGTAAGAATCTGGAATTCTGAAGCCATTTTGGAGAGAGAGGGCGGGCGAGTGCTGGTGCTTGAGGCCAGACGCCCCGGACGTAGGCTGGCTGGAGATACGTCTCCACGGTGCGCCCGCGTCTTTTCCGCCTCCCTCTTCCCCTTCCTCCTTTCCAGAAGGGCAGAATTTGGAGCCTGGGGTCTTCCCTCTGTGGAGCAGGGACAACACCAGGGAGTCACTCAACGAAATGATAAGGGCTCCGAAGACTCCCAGTGACATCAGAGTGAAGACACACATCACGGATTCTTCAGCGTTGGAGGAACGTTAAATTTGAGTCCAAACCCAAGCAACCGTGGACTTGTGGTGTATCCCCTTCTAAGGAAAGATATGCAGGCAGTAAGGACACACAGTGTTTAAAGCCAGCGTCCACTGTCTGCTGGATCCTGCTAAGAACTTTGAGGGCCCAGAGGCTGCTGCCCACCTCCTGCTATCACAGCCCCACTTGGATGTGGACTTGAGAAGCAGGATGCCCAGGGACACCTCTCTGAGTTCAGGCCCAGTTTAAGTTTCAAGGTCACCGGGTTCCCAGTGACAGGAGGGGGTGGATAGGAAGGAGAGGGGGAGGGGGATAATGGAGATGTGGTGACAGTTTAAAAGCTGATAGATTTTTGTCTGTCGTCGGGGGGCAGGTAAAGAGTAAATATAATTTTTTAAAAATTAGTGAATTATACTCCTCCCTCATTGGAGAAGATTGCTGCTTGTTCCTGTTGGTGCCAAGGTGGAAAAGCGTTCATTACTGCCAAACCGGATGGAAGAGTTTTCTTTTTCCTTTTTATTTTTTCTTTTTGAGTTGGAGTCTCACTCTGTCACCCAGACTGGAGTGCAGTGGCCTCTCCCGGCCACCGCAGCCTCAACCTGCTGGGCTCCGGCGATCCTTCCGCCTCAGCCTTCCAAGTAGCTGGAACTACAGGCACGTGCTACCACGCCCGGCTAATTTTTTTTTGATTTATTGTAGAGATGAGGTCTCGCCAAGTTGCCCAGGTGGGTCTTGAACCCGCGGGCTCAGGCAATTCATTCACCTCAGCCTCCCAAGGGTGCGGGATTACAGGCTGAGCCACCGAGCCCGGCTTGGAAGAGTTTTCATGGTCAGGACCTCTGGCACCTCTAGGGTCCTGCAGAGTTCAGAGGGGCTGGTCTCAGCCACTGCCACTGTGGCCCTTGTGGCGAGGTGAGCAGGAAGAGTGGTTTCGTGGGAGCTCATGCTGTGGAATCCCCTGGGTGCCCTGGAGGCCCCTCCTGCAACTGGATCCTGTGCACAGGGCTGGCCACCTGCTGGCTCACAAGGCCGGGCCCAGGTTCCAGGTGACAAGAGGAAGAGGAAGCTTCATTTCCTGCTCTGCATCCGGACCAGCCTGTGCCTCTGCTGCCCACCCGGCCGCTCCCTGTCCCTGGATTCCTCTCCCACACACTGGACAGTCCCCACCCAGGGCCCTCCCCACACACCTGGGTCCTCTCAGTTTGCTGCCTGTGACCAGGCCAGCGCTCACCTGGCGTTGGAGCCAGAAGGAAAACAAAACGAAACAAGTCTGTATCCACACACACTTCTACACTGTTCCTCATTTCTTCATTTGTAGGAAGTCCTGAGATTGGCAGAGGAGCATTCTGCAGGATGAAACCTGCTTTTCAGAAAGGAGTGTGGCCCGGGTGTCGTGGTGCAGGCCTGCAATCCCAGCACTTTGGGAGGCCGAGGTTGGAGTTCAAGACCAGCATTGGCAACATAGCGAGACACGATCTTTTTAAAAAAACCAAAAGAAAAGAGCACTCCAGCTCAATGGTGAGCCTGCCTGCAGCTGTAGAGTCCAGACAAGAACCAGCAGAGGCATCTTCAGAAGAAGGTGCAAGCCTGCGGGGGCTCAGCTGGTGCAGCGTCTCCTCTCATGGGTGTAGCCCCCCAGATTGTAGCTATGGCTCGAGTAGTGTAGGTTACACAGTGTTTGCTCTCTGTGGCTTATTTTGGGTGGTAAGATACTTTTTATTTTATATATTGAACATGTTTCAATACACCGAAATAGTTACCATAGTTGACCAGATTCATATACCCATCCTCCCCGCAGTTATCCTTTTCTGCTGGCAAGAGCACCAAATATTCACTCTCCCAGCACACTTCCCATAGAATACAATATTCTCACCATAGTCCTGGATGGTCACCTTAGATGTCTAGACTTGCTCACCCGACACACCTGCAACATCGAGCCCTGTCCCCCACAGCTACGGTCCCCTCACCCTCATAATAAGGCGCTTATCCAGAACGTTTCTATTTTCTTTTTAATAGGTGATTGAAAAAACTGACGATATTCAGAAGTTTTTTGACTTTTTTTATTAAAAAAATTTTTGTCTTGTTAAGCCCTGTCCAGGCCACGTGGATCTTTGAGTATATTCGCCATGTCTTCCTAGTTTTGTCCCCTTCCCTACCTTGGGGAAGGTAATCCCCCCCAATTTACTTTCTAAATAAACTATATTTTCCAGTCTAAAAAATGTTATTTTTTTTTTAAGGGACAGGGTCTTGCTATGCTGCCTGGGCTGGTCTTGAACTCCTGGGCTCAAGTGATCTTCCTGCCTCAGCCTCCCAAAGTGCTGAGGGTGAGCCAAAGCACCCAGCCCGAATGTGCCTCTTTCTGATGAGTGGGGTAGCCTCCTGACCACTTTGTCGAGAGTTGGGAGCCAAACACAGACACGCTCATGCTAATTTATTCCTGAGCATTGACTGGAGTCCTATGTGGGTCTACAGTGCCACATGAGGCCTGTCCTCTGAAGGCTCTTTCAACCTGCTTGGGGAGATGAGGCTGTAGGTTAGACCAGCTGCATGAGATGCTCCAAAGCCAGCATGAAGACCAGGCTGGGGTGGCAGGTCGGACCCGAGGGGTCAGCAAAGCTGATGAAGGGGTGAGCTCTATGCAGGGACAACGGGCGCTTCTTGGGCGCTCACAAGCACGTGGATTTAAGGCTGGGTGAGCTAAGAGGAGCAGGAGGGGAGGGGACTGGCTCCTGCAAGGAGACCTCACGGAAGCAGGCAGGAACGCCAGGCGACAGTTCT